AGAGACATATTTTAGATAATAATATTGAAACATTAGCTTGGGGTCATTATAAACTGCGTTAAGTGTTGATAGTTTTTACTTTTATGTCTGCGTTTAAGAAAAATTTATATTGATTGTAAAATTATGATAATACTATAATATGACGTAGTTTATTACATATTTAAACATTGTTTTATTGTAAATAATTTAAGTTAATTGTTGTTTCTATTTATTTGAGGTTGAGTTAATTGTAAAATTATGATGTACTAATTGTTGTTTCTATTTATTTGAGGTTGAGTTAATTGTAAAATTATGATGTACTAATTGTTGTTTCTATTTATTTGAGGTTGAGTTAATTGTAAAATTATGATGTACTAATTGTGTTAGAAATAGTATACAGATAATTCTGTTTTATATAATTTTTGGAATATATATTAATTGTTTACACCAACACTTTCATTTTTTATTTCACCCCTTTGAACTTTAGACGTGTGTTATGTTTCACTTTATCCATCCGTTCACTGCTATTGTGGCAGGACCAAGTGGGTGTGGGAAGTCAAATTTTGTAACAAATTTCATAAAATCAGTTACAGAAATATGTAATTGTGATTTTAATCAGATCACATGGTGCTTTGATGAAATGCAACCATTATATAATTTACCAAATGTTAACTATCATCAAGGAATTCCAAATCTTAATATGTTTGATGGTAAAAACCCACATCTTGTTATTATTGATGATCTAATGAGAGAGTCCGATGGAAGAATTGTGGATATATTTACAAAAGGTAGTCATCACAGGAATCTTAGTGTATTTTATCTAACACAAAATTTATTTCATCAGGGTAAAGGACAAAGAGACATATCTTTAAACTCAAGTTATATAATATATTTTAAAAACCCTCGAGATAAAACTCAAATAAGATATTTAGCAAGACAAGTATCACCAGATAACCCAAAATTCATTGAAGATGCCTACAGGGATGCAACTCTAGAGGCGCATGGATATTTAATGGTAGATTTAAAACAGAATACCAATGATTTTTGTCGTATCAAGACAAATGTCTTTCCATTTAATGGTTTCTGTACAGTCTACGTCCCCACAAAAGAGTTTAAATACACCAAGAATCAAACAATTGAAATCATTGCTAAATGATGCATCGTCGACTCACAACGTATAAACATTTGCTAACCGCTTTTCATACGCTTAAACCAAAATATCAAAGACTTAAAACGTGTGATGAAGAAGAAATTAACTGTATTTGTGAGTGTATTCATAACGTTTTACAAGGAAAAGTACCTCTTAAAGATCAGGATAAACAAAAATTGAATAAACATAAAAACATACTCCGTAAACTAGTACGTAAGTGTAAACATAAACTAAGAAAAAATATAATTATACAAAAAGGAGGGGCTTTCTTACCAACAATATTAGGTGCAATATTGAGTGGATTAGTGAGTGGACTAGCCAGTTAACATGGAAAATGCAAAGAAAATGATACTTATCGAACCTGGATTGATTGAAAAATTAAAACAAGAAAATAAGGTTAATAGTAATTTATCTCGATTAGATATTGAAATGCAAAATATTATGAATAGTAAGACGGAAGACCGAAAGAAATGGATATTATATTTACAAACACTGCAAAGATACCTTCATTTTACCGAAGAGGATCGTCAACCACTCAAATTACCAATTTATTCTGATACATCTAATGAAGATTCAAATGAGTCAAAAATTGGTTTTAAAAATAAAGATAGAGATCTAAAAACTTCAGTTGATATTGAATCTTTGCTGGAGGAGAATCGATCCATTAAAAGTAAAGAAAATGATGAAAATCCACTTTACACACCAGCTCAAATACTCAGTTTAATACCAAAAACTTATCATAAAAAAGGGCAGTTATTATTAAACTTAGTTGAAACAAGTAAAAGTAAAATACATTGGGATAATGAAGGTACAGTCATAATTGATAGTGAAAAAATTCCTGGAAGTAATATTGTTGATTTAATAAATGATTCACTAAGACCCCTAAAAAGAAGTGATCCGGTAGGGTGGGTTAGATTTGCTGAAGCATTAAAAGATATTAAAGTACCACTTACTTATATTGGAAATCCAAGGAGATGTGAGTTTATTAACCAACTTCAAGCAAAAGATCTGAACAAACCCTCTGAGATTGAAGTTCAAGAGTTTTCTACACCGGGCAGTAGAGATAAAAAGTCTACAACTAAAATACGTAAAGGACTTGAGTGGGAAAAATGGACCCCGTACTAGAAGAAATTAACAGGATTTATTATGATCCATCTAATCCCGCTGGTTTTGGTAGTATTGATAAATTATCAAAAGCCATGAAGGGTAAAATGAATAAAAAGCAAGTAAAGGAATGGTTAAAATCACAAGAAACATACACATTACATAAACCCATTCGAAAAAAATTCCCGCGTAATAGGTACATTCTATCAAATATTAATGAACTGTGGCAAGCTGATTTAAGTGATATGCGAACTTATTCTCAATATAATGATACAAGTATATACTTTGTATTATTGATGTATTTAGTAAATATGCTTTTGCAAGACCAATGAAAAAGAAAAACTCAGAAACAACTAAAGAATGTTTTGAAAGTATATTTACTGAAAGTAATTTAACACCTACTCACATACAATCCGATAAAGGTACAGAATTTGTTTCAAAAGATGTACAAAAATACTTTAAATCCAAAAAGATTAATTACTATACCAATAACAATCCTGACATTAAGGCTAGTATTGTTGAACGATTTCAAAGAACACTAAAAATGAAAATGTGGCGTTATTTCACTCATAATAATACTTATAGATATATAGATGTTTTACAAGATTTAATATACTCTTATAATCACAGCTTTCACTCTAGTATTAAGATGTGCCCATGTGATGTAAATTCCAACAATATTATGACAGTTTGGACTAATCTTTATGATAGACGATCAAAAAAACTTTCTTTAGAAAATCCTAAACCAAATTTCAATGTGGGTGATTATGTTCGAATAACTAAATATAAACATGTATTCCAAAAAGGATATGAATCAAATTGGAGTGATGAAATATTTATTATATCTTCAATAATTGATAGATCTCCATGGGTTGTTTATACAATAACAGATTTACAAAATGAACCAATAATTGGTATTTTTTATGAAAGAGAATTACAGAAAATCACCTACAACCCCACCTCACAACATAAAATAGATAAAATAATTGACACTCGTTATTCAGGTAACAGAAAAGAAGTATTAGTGAAGTGGAAAGGTTATCCAGATAAATTTAACAGTTGGATTTTAGCTTCTAGTTTAAAAGAAATATGAATAAAGAAAGTTTCTATTTAACTTTGCTCAGCAATAGTTCAATGGAATACTTTCCTGATAACAAGACCACAAATTTTTCAACGAAATTACCAAAAGCTATAAAATTAGAAGGTGAATGGTCGGTTGGAGTTGTCGAGTTTCAATATCCATGTACCATGTTTACTGTTCAAGACCATGAAAATGTTATATACATTACAAAATCTATGTTAATGCCTAATGAAGATAAACCATCCACAGTGTACTACAAAAAACATATTCCAGCTACCAACTATGATAACGTTGAGCATATTTTAAGAGTGTTAAATGGTATCGGAGAGAACTTGAAATTTCGCTATGATGAAATAACAAAATTTGTGTCTATTTCGGTATTGGATAAAAATATAACATCCGTAACATTATCACCCAAATTAAGTTTACAGCTAGGTTATGAACCAAATAAAAATCTCCTAGAGAGAAATTTTGGAAAGTGTCCTGCTAATTTACACTTAGGGTTACCATCTCAACTATTTCTATATTGCGACATTATCGATCCTCAGATTGTGGGTGATGTTATGACTCCTTTATTAAGAGTCATTTCATTAGATCCTACAAAATACATTTATGGTGCAAATAAAATGCACGTTTTCTCTCAACCTCACTACTTACCTGTTATGCGAAGAGAGTTCGATACGTTGGAAATAGTTATAAGATCGAGTACAGGACAAAAAATACCATTCCAGTTTGGAACCGTGTGTATTAAACTACATTTCCGAAAATTATAATAATGAATTCTCTTCGTGATCATCATAAATGTCCATATGAAACTTATTATACACATCAAGCTGGATCAGGAGTTGGAGTAATTTATAAGGGTTCACCATATCAACGCGGTCATGGTATTGGGAGCTTCTTAGGGGGGTTATTCAGATCAGTTTTACCTTTACTTTCAAGTGGTGCTCGAGTGATTGGTAAGGAGGCATTAAGCGCTGGAGTAGGACTTTTATCGGATATGGTTCAAGCCCGTCCTATGGAAGCCTCAATAAAAGATCGTCTAAAGCAAGTTAGTACGAATTTAAAACGAAAGACTGATGAGAAAATTGATCAATTTAACATGACTGGATCTGGGTATAAAACTAAAAGAAAACGATTGACATCGTTCATTCCACCATTAACTGCTAAAGTGAAAGCTGCGAAAAAACTTTGTCTAAAACCAAAAAATATCAAAGATATATTTTCAAACTAAATATGTCTTTCCTTCATAATCATTCTTGCGAGTGCGTTAAGTCAGAATTGGATTTGTTTGCACTACCGTCTACACAAACTAGCATTGAAAATGGATTGTGGATTCATTATAAACCAATTTCATCTCTTGGTGATGATGGACCTATCGAGTTTCAAGTTCCTGGGACCGGCGATGACTACATAGATTTGTCTCATACATTACTCCACATAAAGGCAAAAGTATTAAATCAAGATTCAACTAACTTGGTATCTACTACAATAGTAGCATCTGTAAATAATTGGCTGCATTTACTTTTTAGTCAACTTGATGTTTATTTAAACCAAAAACTTGTATCACCACCTAATAATACCTATGCATATTGAGCATACATGGAAACCCTTTTAAACTATGCCCCTGCTGCTAAACAATCTCATCTTACTTGTAGTCTTTGGTATGAGGATACAGCAGGAAAAATGGATTCTACAGATGGTAAAAACATAGGATTTGTTAAAAGACAGGAATTGATTAGTGAAAGTCAGGAAATAGAAATGATTGGTCATCTTCACGGTGACATTTTTAACCAAGATAAATTTTTAATTAATGGTGTTGAAATGAGTGTTAAATTGGTTCGATCAAGAGAGAGTTTTAATTTAATTGTTGGGTCAAACGATGTAAAGTTTAAAGTTTGCATTACGGACGCAACTCTTATTGTTCGACGAGCACGAATTAATCCAAGTGTATTACTCGCACATCAAAAAGTTTTAGCTTCTACCACTGCTAAATATCCTATTACTCGAGCTGAAGTAAAAGTTTTAACAATTCCTTCGGGTGTTCAAGGAAAAACTCTTGATAATATATTTTTAGGACAGGTACCGAAAAGATGTATAATTGGATTTGTGAACAATTCTGCATTTAATGGTTCCCTTACTAAAAATCCATTTAACTTTGAAAACTATGGTATTAATTCTTTCAGCTTATATATTGATGGTCAACAAATACCTTCAAAAGCTTTGCAACCATCTTTTAATAATAGCATATTTACATCAGCATATCATACTCTATTCTCGGGAACTGGTATTCACTTTCTTAATGAAGGAAATGGAATCTCTTGTGAACAGTATGGCAAAGGTTACTGTCTATTAGCATTTGACTTAACTCCTGATTTATCAGCTAACTCATCAACTCATTGGAATCTCATAAAGCATGGTAGTGTAAGAATAGAAGTACGATTTGAATCCTCATTAATACAAACAATTAACTGTATAGTTTATGCTGAGTTTGATAATATTATTGAGATAGATAAAAACAGAAATGTTACTGTAGACTATAGTAGTTAAGGTTATAATATGTGTTGTGTGTTAGATTTTATGTGTTATGTGTAATGCATTTTGTGTGTATGTAACTATGTGAAACGTTATAAAATTAAATAAAACAAATTGTATGCAATATATTTTTTTTTATTTCTTTATAAATCTTCTATTTAATCTAATACAAAACACTGTTCGAGTTGAAATTTTACATAAGCACACTGACTAAACCACTGAACATGCTGCTGCCAAGGATCATCATCATCTTCCCAATCTTTTAAACCACCACCACAATGGAAACACTTGGTCCCGTCTGCATGGCCAGTATAAAAGAAACCAGCTTCTGCAAGATCTTCAGGTTTTTGTCGCATAACTAGAGGCCAGTTTTCGAAACTAAGCAAACGGCTAGATTTTGAACTGAAGAATGGATATTCAGCTCTTGAGTACTGCATACTCTTCTCGTTTTCTTCTCCACTCAGTGTTGTAGTTTTGTTATTCAATGATGTGTTTTGTACACGTATGCCACACTCATCTCTTCCTTCCGCTCTTGTCTTCCTGTAATTGAAGTAAACAGAATCACATTCACTAATGATCAGCTAATGACTGTCATTGTTAAAAAAGTATTTTTTAACTTTTTCACTTTCTGCTATTGTCTTTGTTATATTGTATACGAGGGCGTTTGTGTTGTCATAGATGCTATCCTTATTAGTCTTTACGTAATATTTAATTCTCGTGGAAGCATGTTTCCAATGATCAGTAGTTGGAATCTTAGATAGCTTCTTCATATCGTACATTTCAATTTTGATGAGATGCGTCGCTTGGTCTACGTCGTCAGAATTAGTAGAAATGTATGATACACCATCTCTAGCGGCTCGTGCTACGGTTGATGATAACAGCTTCCTCTTTTTTATTTTTGATTCAGCTTCAAAAAATGATCAATCGATTGCGATTTTCTTTTTCCACCATCGCATGTGTTATTATTAATGACGAGGTCATCACTCTCTTCTTGAGGGGAGAGTGGCGAGTAGTAATACTGTTTATAGGTATCTTCATCGAAGCTCAATGATTTCTGCAACAACACAGTTATCATGTTAATATCAATTTGTTAACACTTAATCATAAAAGTTAAAAAAGTTAAAGTTACAGCCTATTAAAGTCCACTGCTGAACATAGGCCTCCTCTCATTTCTGAGAGGGTTTTAGAGCAAGGAAATGTCCGCCGCGCTCCCTCAATGTGTGTTGGCGAACTTCACATGCCTTCGAAATTTTCTCAGACATGCAGTTTTCCTCACGATGTTTTCCTTCACCACCAAGCACGTGGTAATAAGCACTTAAAATTGCGATTAACAATTTAATTGGTGCTGGCGGGGATCGAACCCGGGTCGCGTACTGTGAAATTTACAGCTAGCGCTAACCATCTGAGTTACCACGGCTTAATCATATACATACACAATATTTAAATAAAATAATACACACACATGAAAATAACAGAAAAAAAGTAATTTAGTCAATAGAATAAACACTTACATCCATAGCCTTTGGTGTATTGAAGTAACACAAATGTACTATTGATAGATCCACTGTAGCCAAACGACCGTACACTAACTCGATGACTGCGTCTGTTGGTCTTATATACCACCAGTACGTAAAAATTCTAATCTAAAGTATTTCCGTAATGAGTTGATAATTACTTTATGCGTCAACCAGTTTATCTCACATTTCCGTTGCCTATCTCAACATTTCTTCGTATTGTGTTTTGTTTGGTGATCAATGACTCAAGTACGATTTGTATAACACAAAAATGCAATTTAATATTTAGAAACATATCAGTTTATCTCACATTTCCGTTGCCTATCTCAACATTTCTTCGTATTGTGTTTTGTTTGGTGATCAATGACTCAAGTACGATTTGTATAACACAAAAATGCAATTTAATATTTAGAAATCACTATAATTGACCATTCCTATGTTATTCATTGAGTAGATTGGTACTGTAATAATCTACTAATAGCAGTAATATCATGGATACACTAGATGTACAACAACATCTGAAAAAGATTCACCCCAGTCTAGAAAATAATGTTTATGCAGCTAATAGACTGCCTATGTATACCCACGTACCAACGTATATAATATGCAATTTGGATACAGATGATAAACCAGGGTCACATTGGGTAGCTTTATATATCGATACGAATGACGTCGGTCAATATTTTGATTCATATGGACGATCACCTGTACGATATCATCTAGAGTTTTTAAAAAGGAATTGTAAAAGATGGAACTGGAATGTTGATAGGATTTAGAATGAGTGGACTTCAGTTTGTGGCGAATATTGCTTAATGTATTTGCTATATAAGTTTCAAGGATGTTCAATACATAGTTTTACGAGTATATTTACAAGGAACACATTGTACAACGATATTTTAGTGGATGAGATGTTTCGCTCCTATTTTATAGATAATAAGTAATAAGATTTTGTATTTTATAAATAAAAATTGTAACAAAATTATGTAATGTGTTTTATTGATGATTCAGATTAGCGTTGTATAATTAGGAACAAAGAAGTACAATACAATAGCACTGATATAGTCGACGCACACGCTGCAATGAAGGTGATTAACCCTCTGCTACTGAGGTGCCTTTCTTGTAATTATTCTACTGAGGAGTAGCCTGTCAGACGTATACTTTAGGTAAGGATTTTTCAAATTTTATTGTTAGTTATTGAAAATAAAACTGAATTTAGCAAAGTTTACATTATATTTCTTAAGCCATTGTAAAAAACAGACCAATAAAACCATTGTTTTAAGAAAATATTATTTATTACCGAAACCTTATGAATTATAGGAACATTTGTAATTAGGAACTTTGACATTCAAGAAAAAGAATAAAATTAAAAGAAATAACAAAAAAACATAACGTTGCCTTCTTGAAGTTTCAAAAAACAAAAAACACTTAAATTATAAAAATCCTTACAGTGATTTTTTTTAATCAGTCTCAAAGTTCAGTCTTGCAGTCAACACAAATTTGCGAGGAGCACTGTAAACAAATATGTTTCGCACATATACAACAAACAAATCTTGTTTGTCGCTTCAATTTACTAGGGCAGATGCGACATAATTTTCTTGATGATGTACTAGGCTCATTAGAAGACTCGGGTAAAGGTGGTGGGGGCAGGTCCTGACCTAGTACACGTCGCAGAGTCAATCGCAATTCTCTTGGGAGTTTTTCATTGTAAACTCGCTGTTTTAATGCGGGTAATACTAGTTCTCTGGATAGATGCATAAGGAAATCTCCTCTTCTCAATTTCGTACCTTCACATTGACCATAAAGTACATATGCATTGATGCCAGCAATATCTAGTACTCGATAAAATATAGCTTGTGGCCAACGTCTCGTTTTACGACTGCAGGAATATATCGCACATTTTTTATCGATTTCGTCGACCCCGCCTTTTGTGTGATTATAATCGACTATTATGGTCGGTTTTCTAGTTTCTGTGTCCGTACTTGCACTATGGTGACAGCTAGAAATTAGTATGACGGCTTTATCTTTTTTCGGGACAAAAGACAACAAAGTGAGGTCTTTTGTAAAACCATGAAGAGAACTTTCAACAGCTCTGTTTTTACTTGGCATAAACTCTGGAGGTATTTCTCGTTTGTTCTTTTTTAATGTTCCCAAATATGTCAGTCCTTTTTTCAATAGCATTTCTGCCAGAGGTATTGAGCTGAACCAATTGTCCGCTGTCACATTACGATTGGTATTTTCAATGGGTTTTATAAGTCGCAACACAGACTGTGTAGGGACAGAAAGCTTTTTCTCAGCCTCCGGGAGACCTACACCATCAGAACCCTTGCCGTGGTAAATGTATGCGTTATATACGTAGGATTCCCGGGCGTCGCTCAAGACCATTATCTTGATCCCATATTTAGCGGGTTTTTTGGGCATGTAGATGACAAATTTGCAGCGACCTTTGAAGGCTAATAGCATTTCGTCAACGCAGGTGTATGGACCAGGTGTGTAATTTGCTTGACAATTTGCGATAAATTTATCAAAAAATCCAGAAACAGCAGCAAGAGGGTCAGTTTCTAAGCGCTCCTGTCGGTCATCAATATTGTCCAGCCTCAAGCAATTCAAAAGTGTGTTGAATCTATATTTAGACATGACACATCTAAATATTTCATGACCTGTTCCATCAGTTGCAAACAAATAGTTTGAATCAGCATCGTTACATTTGAATACTGAGGAATAGTATAATAATCCAAATAAAGATCGAATTTCTACAGCATTTGTATCTCTCAGCTCGTGTTTCGAATAATTAGAGAACTGGCGGCGGTAAACTTCAAGTTTTTTATTTGTACAGGAAACTATTGTTTCTATCATATTGTCATCAAAAAGCTTCAGCCAGAGTGCTTCGTAACCGGGAAATCTCGTATGATCAGGGTTTTGTCTAGGTAAAGACACAATGTTACGAGCTAGTGTTCGCGATGTCCTTAAAAAGTCAGTAACTGACCAAACAAAACCATTTTTACCTCGATAACGATTGCGGTTCGAGTCAGGCGTATTAGTAGAACGATTTGTCCCTTCACTCGATGTTTCAATTTCTATTTCTTCGACTTCTGAAATCTCACTCGCAACATGTTCTTCTTCTTCAATTGTAAAATGTTGATCAGCTACTTCGTCGTCTACATCACTAAACTCGTGCTCGTTATCTTCTTCTAACCACTGTTCAATTAATTTTTCTGTAAGATTTCTCTTCCTCGAATTACTGGTACTCGCTATCTATATAGACAGAAACAAAAACATAGGTCATTAAAATTATATAGAAACATATTGCTAAGGTGATGAACGACAGATACTTTTAACATAACTATTTTACTGATGTGACGTATGTAAGACATTAGGGTATTATAAATATTTTACTGACAATACGTATGACAGATCCATCACTTATTACTGACCTTACGTCCTGTAGACACCTGATAGCTCCAACTAGCCACGTGCGCGCACTGCGGCTGCCGTCGCCGCACTAAAGCGTAGGTGGCGCTCTCAGAGGAAGGTACTGAGCGAGACAGGAGATTATGTCGCGGAATGACGGAATGAGACAGACATATAAATTTTGCGGTGTCTGACGTACGTTACGTCAGTAGCAGAGGGTTTATGAACAATAGAACAATAGAAATAGGAACAATGGGACGCTAATGACGGTGGAGGCCCTTACCGGATATCAATTAGATATTAGCTAATTGATCTACACATCTCCGGAACCGTGAGTGAACGTGTATTGTCGCGTGGTGTTAACAATGGCAGCAACTTCGACTGTTGCACGTATGGGCCGGCTCAAGCCGGGGTGGTAACGGAATTAAATGTAATACTATCCCAGGAGGGTACCAGCATCCCGGTAATGGAGAATCCCTTGACGAGCATCCACGATCAAGCTACTCCACTCCTGAGGAGGGACTTACCACCCCTAGGTGCTCAGGCTGCCTCACGTATTCTGGGGAGGGGTTGGGGAGGGGGGGGCGAAATCCGCTCATGACTGACTGCTCGGGGCAAGGGCCAAGGCGACGCCTGCCACGTGACTTTCTGTAACATCAGGGGACTTCACTCGAACCTGAACGCCGTTTGCTTGCTCTTTCTGACCGAGACGCAGGTGTCCTCTCCGGCTGATACTTTGTATCTCTCCTACCCGGGGTACAAATTGGAACACTCCTTGTGCCTCGGGCTCGAGTTTGCGTATACATCAGAGAGAACATCTGTTGTCGACGCCTCGACATTCTTGAAGGACCTGTCCATCCTTTGGCTACGTGTAGACAGCGAGGACCATCCGCATGTTTACAGGTGCCTGTATAGGTCCCATAGCGGTAATGTCAAAACAGACTGATTCATCGACCACGTCCAAATGGCTACAGATTCCTTGCTACAGCAGATCCCATCCGCAGAGATTGTGATCCTCGGCGATTGTAACGCCCACCACGCCGAACGGCTCGGTTCATGGTTAACCGATGCAGGGAGATCTGTTCATGACTTTACTTTGGCATATGGTCTGACACAACTGGTAATTTCGCCTACGCGGATTCCGGATGTGGAAGATCATGCACCTTCCTTTTGGACCTTCTGGTGACTTCTCAGATAGATTATCAGGTCTCCGTCCACTCCCCTCTTGGCACTCAGTCATTGTATAGCCCGGAGTGTGCTTTTTTATAGGATAGGGTGACAAACGAGCACACAGTCCAGATGGTAAGTGGTTTCTGCGGCCCATAGACATCTACATCTATCCTCTTTTGCGAATCAAAATGCAGATGCGTTTTCACCCGTGAGGACTAAGATGGAATGCCTCTTTTCCAGTGAAAAGGGTCTCCGGATTTCACCACACGAAACACAGCAGTATCAAACTGCCATTTCACGCTGGTATTCTGTGAGAGCGTGGTCCTTCCCCGGTCGAGCCGACCCATTCGTGCTACAACTATATTACCAATATAGCTGCAGCATGGCTCTACCACGTATAGAAATGGTGCCACTCACATTAACATTGCGATTGCATTCTGCAGGCTGGCTAAAAAAGGCGACCGCTCAGACCTGTCTAGCTATGCTTATCGCCATCACCTTGTTTTCCAAAATAATGGAATCCATTATAAACAGCCAGCTCATGCGGTATATTGAGGACCACCAGCTAATTAGTGACCGCCAATACGGTTTTCATCGGGGTCGGTCAGCTGGTAAGCTTCTGGTCTACATGACTCATAGATGGGCGGAGGCATATGAGTCCAAGGGGAGGCATTGGTCGTTAGTTTGGACATTGCGAAGGCCTTCGATCGGGTTTGGCATAAAGCGCTTCTTTCGAAGCTCCCTTTCTATGGGCTTCCCTAGAAATTGGGCAATTAAATCACCAGCTTTCTTGCACATCCGAGCATCTCCTCAGTTTCAAGGCAAGCCCCTTTTTGCCTCAGCCAGTATCGGAATCCTTGACGTCGACCTATCGAGTGACGTGCAAGTTTCGTGATTACTTGAAAGAGAAGGCCAAATTGGCCTCTAAAACACGTTGCGTGCTCAGCAGAGCGGGACAGTATTCCATGCCGGACCACCGCCTGCAACTTTACAAGGCGCAGGTTCGGCCTCACATTGAATACTGTGCCCATCACTGGGCTGGGGCTCCCCAGAGCTTTATTAAAAATATAAAGCTGTTCTTGGTAGCAACAATATGGTTTTCTTGAAGTTTTTTTTAAGAAATCTCTTCCTGATAAAACAATATCTAAGGCCTATGGCCAGTCATGCCGCGCCGCCGCGACGCCGCCGCCGCCGTAAAAATTTTCAGGCCACGCCGCCGTGGAATTGACCTTCGGCGCTCATATCTAAGACAGATTGATCCAATATACACTCTGAAATTTTAATGGTTGTTTTCCCGAAGTCAAATGATTTTGTTTTGGTAGTACAATAGATTTTTTAAAATAAAAACCGGCAAAGTGCGAGTCAGACTCGCGTACGGAGGGTTCCGAACAAATCTGTAGGTATATAAGCTTAATATTATTAAAAATATTTTTATTATATGATGTAAAAAAAAAATTATGCTTTTCGCAATTTCCCTTTATCTGTGCTATAAAACGTTGCTTCTTACCAAATTTCAAGATTCTGAGTTCACGGGAAGTACCCTTTAGGTTTTGATTCCCTTGCGAATGTCGAAAATTTACGGCATAAACGGCTGTATCTTTTGATTGCGCTGGCTTAGAAGTTTGATTTTTTCATAACTCTAAGGGACATAAGACTTGAGTATTTGATATGAAACTCCACGCGTTCCTGAGAAAAAGGGTCTTGACAGACAGACAGACAGACAGACAGACGGACAACAAAGTGATCCTATAAGGGTTCCGTTTTTTCCTTTTGAGGTCCGGAATCCTAAAAATTATTACGATGCAAAAATGGCAGATTTACAATCGAGAAAAACAAAACTGTTTTATTTGTAATATTTTTTATTTTATAAATTTGACTCTACTATCGAGACAGTATAATTTGGCTGCAGAAAAACAACCACTAAAATTTCAGCATGTATATACTACGACAGAATTACAAAAGAAAGTATTGAATACTATAGAATTCGAATTGATCTAGAATCGTCTTATAAATCAGTGTACATGCATAATTCATAACCTCTCCTTTTTGGGAGTTGGTTAAAAATAGACTATGTTTGGGTGTAAAGTGACATCTGGTAAATGTTTGGGTGTAAAGTGACATCAGGTTAGTAAAGGCGTTCTTATTAATAATCTCTTGATGTAAATAAAAAAAGTTTTTATTCTATACTCTAAACTCTAAAACGTCGACTTAGTCAATAAACCAAGCAATTAATACAAAATGGCTTCGACGGATCGCGATCAGCTGATCACTCCATATTAATTTTAAATAGGCGTCCATTATTAATATAATGTTAATACGTAGAGAAGTAGGTATCTATATATAAACATTTGAGTTTTACACAGAGCGTTACGATTAAACGTTTTAAACACAAATAGAAAATAAATATTTTTAAAAGAAATTTGTGTTTTTTTTCCTCACAACTAGCAACATTTGTATTATGATAGCTTAGGTAAGTATTTTTTAACTTTACGTACTTATAATGAAATATATATATGAACTTATATGTGAGGTGTAATACCATCACTTTTTTATGTTTATCATCACTGTTGAGACAATTTTTTTTAATACAAACGGTCATATTTACAATTTTTCGCGAGCTCTTCTCAGTAGGACGTGACATTGCGCACTGACGCGTCGCGGAGTGAACTTACGCGGTTTCGCGTTAGTTTTAGTTGCTTCACTTATGGTGCGCCTACTAGTATTCTATACCTAATAATTCTATGCTATGGACAGTCTATTTCTCTTCTTCTTTTAATATTCCTAGAATATCCATAACGGAGTTATTTTTCCGTTCTATTTTTGCGATTTGTTATTGGAAGACCGACATAAGAGAATGCACAAAAAATAAATAACTTCCTGCGAGTTAATTTTCGTAAAAAGCTTCAAGTGTTGTCGGCACTTGGGGAGTGGTCGAAAAGTATTATTTTAGAGGACATTTTTAAAATTTATTCTATAGTTGGAAAAAAACTCGCCCAGATAATTTCCTGTGATAAAGCAACTTTTGATAGTTGATATCAATGTATTCACAAATTCATTTTAAGCTTTCAGTGATATATCAGCACGGTATATACTAAAAAGAAATTAAAAAGCTTCATCACCAGCGATTCGATATCTAATCTTAGTACATCAGTACCCTGTTGGATGCAATTATGCAAAATATGTGCTGGGCAATCAATTCCAACAACCTCCTTATTTAGTTTATTCTTAAGATTTGTCAACACATTTCTTCCTGCTTGTCTGTTGATCCCTCCAAAATTTACGTTGGCATTACCCGCTGTTAGGGAGATACATTTTTTACTTAAGTCGTGCTTCTCCAAAGTCTTCATAATAATATCAGATATTGTTTCTGGTGTCTTGTTTGGCGTGTTAAAGACATCCAGTAACTTTGACTGCAGAATCAAGAAACTGGATCTTAATCGGAAATATTTTTTTCGATCCATGATTGCTCGCATCGGTTGATACCCCAATGTATGTTATGTTTTGTAACAAGGACTTGATATTTTGAATTATCCATGGATCTATCGCGCCGTTTACGATGGCTTTTGTTTTTAGTTCTTTGGCAAGTAATATCCTTGGCAGTATTGGAATCAGCAAAAAAATACTTCCATCAAACGCCCATTACAGTCCATGGAGTTGTAAGACTGGTGGTGTTTAACAGCGTGAAACGCAAGTGTAGCTTCAGCAACAGATTGCTTTGTTTTACTTTCAGATGATGATGACTGGAAAATTGTATCTATTTTGCGGTGTTTATTCACCACCAACAGTTGGTTTTGGTGTTTTTTGCTTTTAATATTTGTTTCGACATCAAACGCACCTTTGTACTTTATGGAAATTTAACAATCACACACTGTAAAGAAAATTTAAGACGCTTCTAGTCCCTGTCTCATTAAAGGATACCTTTCACGTAAAATATCTGTAAACGTTGACGTTTACTACTCGAAACCATTTTAGCCTATTACAATCGCCTTTTGGATGTAAAATAAATGCTTGCCACATAAACACGCACACACAACACGAGTAAGCATAGCTCCGTCTGCAAGCATACTAAGTACTGATTGACACGCCGCCGCTCGACTCGCTCGCTCTCACTAGGAGTAAAAGTACCTATTGTATGCTCTCGCTTAACCCCGGTGAGCGACTGACTGACTGACCCACTTTAAGTTCGTATAATGGACTAGTAATGGGGCATAGTAGATTGACGTCGTTGTATCTGATGCAGAGCTGTAAATAATTTTCCGTCACCAACATAAAGGTATCTTTTCGTAAATTCAATGCTATGTAGTCGGTAGAAGGCGTGACGTAGATAGAGTTCAAATTTCTTCTTTGTGGTATAGGTATGACTCTATTAAGTTCATAAGTGTCAGTACTCAGTATTGGCACCTTCACTTCAATTATGACGTAATCCTCGGTTATTCTTGCCTTTACTTGTAGCATTTTGAATAACTCCTTAATATTTTGAACGTTGACTGGCGCTGAAAACTCTCCTTGAACATGTCTTGATATGACGTTTAGCTATTCTTGCAATTGTGTCAGAGAAAGCAAGTGTACGTCGAGTCTACCGTGAAATACGTTCGTTACAGTTTTAGTCAGGGTGTCCTGTATTCTTCTTAAATTTGATAAAATGACGTCAAAAGTAACAACATGCGTAGTAAAATAAAATATCTATATGGCTCACTGTTTTACTATAATTTTTCGAGTGAAGTTCACTTCACTCGAAAAATTCTTTATTTGTTCTTCGTTTTTTGTGAATTTCTTATTCAATATGTATTCATTTCACTGTATTATAGTATTTTCCGCTTCTATTATTGTAGTTTGATTTTTAAGTAACTTTTGCAGATAGGCTTCGGTTTCGATGTATTAATTTTGTCTTTAGAGTATTTTTCAGCGAATAGGTCTGTACGATATTCTACTGGGTTTAGCGATTTACCGCTACAATCTCCCTGCAAGCACGAATCCAGGGGCTGGCTAAAGGAGCTCAGGGCAGTCGTTGCAATGATAGTTGTATCAAAGTTCGGCAGAGTGTATCGCACAAGAGTCCATATGTTACAAGCACAACACTTCCAGGTGAAAGAGATCTTGAGAGCTGAGCTTGAGTAACACGAAAAATATTTGTATGCGTGCGCGTCGGTGGTTTTAATTAGACTGTTCACAATTGCCGCCAATCGATATGGCGCTTGTGTCGCACAGAGAGCCATAACCCACAAGATTATGGCTGCATTCAGAATGAAAACAGTTGATCGTCAACCCAATGAATTTAATAGAAATATAGAAAAAATGCTATCTTCGAAATTGTGTTGCCTTGTACTTGTTATTATATACAAAATAAAAGAAACAAAATCAAAATATATAAATAATCTGTTCCAGTACGGAACATGCCGCTCACCTTAAAAGAAGTAATTTCTTTTAAAAAATCGCTAACTTATAGTATAAATTAAAAGAAAAAAAATAACTTAAGTACTAGTATTAAGGTTGTAAGTTTAACACATTACTCTAACGGAAGTGGGCAAACCTTTACTACAGGTCGTTTAAATCTAGTATTCCCAGCCTTTAAGGTCACTACACAAGTGACTTGATCGAAGCCGGGATAAACAGCATGCACACACGCGAGCTTCCATTGTAATGACGGAAGGTGCTCGTCGCATACCATAACAACAGTGCCTTCACGAATGGCGGAGGCACGATCATGAATCATCTTTTCCAAAAGTGTTGGACTGACTGTTGTATCCAGCGCCAACGTGTGAGACGGTTAGGATTTTCGTCCAGTATGCATCTCGTCGTAAGTTTGAGTACGAGTTCCAACTACACGATGTAGGTGGTGTTTGAAACTTTTAACACTGGCTTCGAAGAGACCTCCAAAATGCTAGCATACGGAGGATGAAAGTGCCACGTAAGTCCCCGTTGAAGGGTTTGTTGATTATACTTTGGGTTTGTTGTACTTTTGAATTATGTTATTAATAATGGAATGAAAGATCAACACGTTTGTCCAATTCGAGTGTTTATTTAATACTGGCTTACTTTCTAATACATCGAATATCACCTACAAGTACATAGGTTACTTCACCTTTGGGGGCAAAGGAAAAAAAAAGAGAAAAAAAAGAATATTCTTAACTACTAAATTTCTTAGTCCTATTCTTATGAAAAATGTCAATTTTACCATTTATATCAATTTTCTTATTTACTCCTAAATCTTCTACAACTTTGTAAGGTCCATCAAAAACACAATCTAATTTACGAGCACATTAATTTTTAAGTAAAACAAGATCATTCTTATTATAAAATACAGGTGTTTACGCTCGAACGGTGGTTTCGGAATCGACGTCAGAGGGCGCGCGGCTCGGTGCCATACCGGTTTCGACGTCGGCCGAGCGGTGGGGTTGAGAACGCGTAAAGGTGCGGTCAAGTCGTCTGCCAGCTGTGCTTGGGACAGCACGCTGTCATTTTTTGTCGGGAACTCGGAATAATTAGGCGCGGCTAGTAAATGTACTGTCTAGGATTTGAGACGCGTATTCCTTGCTGTAGAGCTTCCCCGGGACTCATTGGGTTTGACTCGGAATCTGTATAGGTGCATTCGACAATATTATCTAGTGCGGCCTTTGATATTCTAGAAATAACTGTTGCTACGCGAAGCGGTAGTGACCTTTGATCCGGACACTCCCTGTTCGTTTGTGTGTTAAGGTTTATAACAACCGAGTGTTGGTGGCTTCTATAAGTTAGTTAATAGTACGATAGAGTTAGTGGACTGTCATCGTGACGAACGAAGAAAGTGACTGTGGTGAAGATTACCTCAATTTTGGAGCGGTGCTGGCGCCCGGGCTGCTGCCGACGGCCAAGGTCTACTAAGGTCAATTACCATCAGTCACACCCAGATACACATCACAGCACCTTATTTCCCTTGCACTATACAACCACATGCGACCTGACCGACTCCGGAGGGACCAGTCGCCTTGGATATAGGTAAGTAAGCTCCGTCTAATATTCTCCCGGTTGAATGGCCGTAGTGTAGAACGCTCCCCCATATAGTTTAGTGTAACTAGAGATTTTCCACTTTGGCCTTAGGAGGCCCGACCCACGTCTGCTCGTTGAAACTCAGCTGAATGGGCCCCTGATGATTTGACTTTATGGGAGCAGCCGTAGCAACAGGATTACATGATTCATCATATTTATCTTTCCTTTTTCCTTACAAGTTATCAAATTATTTCTAGCATCTCTTAAGGCTACTTGCAATTTATATTTTAAATCTAAACAATAATTATCAGGATTACAAAGTGGTTCAACATCATAATTCTAATTATTTGGCAAACGACATTGTCTACCAAAAACAAGTTCAAAAGGAGTGTACTTAGTTTGAGTGTTCACACAATTATTATAAATAAAACACCAAAATGGAACCCAATGGGTCCATGTTAAATTCGAATTAGTACAATAAGTTCTTAGAAACGCACCTAAATGTTTATGAGCTATGTAAAATGTTCAAGAGAACCGATTGATTGGTGGTGGTATGCAGTTGACGATAACTTATCGATTTCTAATAACTTACATACCTGTTCCATAACCTGAGACATGAATTCTATCCCCCTATCTGTAGCTATACATTTCGGAATACCGAATCTTAAAATAAAGTTACTTACATAAGCTTCTGGAACTGTAACAGCTTCTTTATTAGGCAATGGATACGCCTCTATATATTTTGTTAACTCGCATTGGAGAGTTAAAATATAACAATTTCCATTCTCATCCCTATCCAATGGTCCGACTAAATCTAGGAAAACCTTCTCGAACGCAGTCGACGCAGTGGAGGTTAAAGTCATAGGTTGTTTGGTACATTTACCTTGTTTCATTTTCTGACATAATGCGCGTTTACTTATATATTTACGGATATCCGAATCTAGTCCTGGCCAATAGTATTTTCTCCTAATATTATTCGTCATTCTAGTTATTCCAGCATGTCCACTAGTGGGTAATAAATGATAGTAGTTTAAAATAAATTGTTTCTCGTTTTCATCATAAATTCTCTCTATTCCTTTCAGTACTCATATTCGGGGTCCGGACCATTCACTCAAAGATTTAACTTCACTAGATATTCCTTTTATAAACTCAGTATTCTTTTTGTGACGCCTCATAATTATTATTAATAAATAATAATTAAATTTATTATACAGACATTTAAAAATGTCATAGAAATTATAATTTAAACAATAAAATGCAAATAATAAGCATAGAGTTCAAAAATATCCATTTGGAATATTGAATATTATATATATTAGTAAACGCATAAAATGTCTCAAAAAATCTCTAAATTTATTAAAAACCTGCTTAAAATGTTCAAAATATATCAAATCATATAAATACAAGGCGATTATATTGCAATAACAAAGATAAATAACATTTGTAATATAATAGAAAAAATGGATTAAAATTTTCTAAGTTGATGAAGGAGTTCGTGTAATAATTGGAAAATTTCTAAGTTAATGAACGTGTTCTTGTAATGTTCCCTTATATTGGGGCGTTGTCGGAGACACATACCCAAGGTTGTACATATATATGGGGTGGTCGGCTGACCGACTGCTAGTACTAAGGTTGCACAATGACTAGTCCTATATTAGGGACTTAACATAGTAAGGTCTGACGAACCAAAGCATTAATATAGAAGGTCTCTATGATGCATAAGCATTATGATAGCAGAGTTATGACTTGAAGTCCCATATGAATAAGACATACAGTAGTATGGTCTATGAAATAAAGCAAATATGTGGAAGGTCTCAAATATGTAAAAGCATTATATTGAAAGAAATGGGACTTGAAAAGGATTATTATAGTGGCGTGTAGGTTGCTTCGCAGCCTCTGAGACCGAGGTAAACTTGGACTCACTAACCGATGTGTCCTAGACATATCATCTTAGTGCCGGTGGTAAGCGGGTTTGTTGTAGCAATACGACTTGCCCGTGGACATCGCACACCCCTACCGGTTGTGGGCGTCGTATTAGCGCATAGCGTTATGATACGTCGGCTATCTTTCGGATTAGGGTGAGTGTGTTTGGTAGTACTTTTAAGTGCAGCAAGCATACTCAACTTCATGTCTTAGTGCAATAGCGCTATGATACGTGGAGTTTTGGCTACTGACGTCTTAGTACCGTACTACTATGATACGTTAGTGGTATTTTTAGTTAACAACATTATCAAATTTTGTTACCAAAGTCGATAGGGATCATGTGGGTGTGTTGTGAGGGGGCGCCATCCGTATGATAGTTGCATTGATGCTTACTGCTACTTGCAGTATTGTGTCTTGTGATGGATCTGCGGGTGTGCTACACCTGATTCGATGCATCTTGTGGTTCTGGTCGATGGAGGTATGCGGGTGGTGATGTCTGCTGGGACTGTATGGGGGACCTTGGGATGGTGTAAGTCCGACGATAGTCGTATTGATGCTTGTTGCATTCTGTAGCATTGCGTCTCTACGATGGTTGTTTGGCGGGTCGCTATTCTCAACGGCGCTCTCTGCGTCTTGGTTTGACTCACAACCTAAGTAGCTTTGCCCAAGTCGGGTCCCTTCATTGCGGGGCTGCAGACTGTCTGCCCTCCATGATGTTTTATATAACAACTTAATAATATATCTCTATAAAGTTCCCACCTTTGAGAGATTGAAGGCAACTTGTTGGTGGGTGAGACAAACATGATCGAAAAATGCATATACTCAACGTCAGTGACACAAACCCTTTCTGATGGCGAATTATTAATATTATCTTATAACTGCCTATTGGCTATATCTGCCATTGTATTGGTTGGTGGAGCATATGTGTTGACCTCATGCGGGTGGTAGCTGGAGGGAGAATCTGAGGAGGCTCTCAAGGCTGCGGCCGAAAGCCGCGCAACGTGGGACCCCATTCCCTTGAGGTGAGCGGTAGACTCATGACACGCTCTGCGGCCAATTGGCCGTGCTGACCATGCAATTGGTGGTGATGCCTTACACTTACATCACGTCTGCAGGAACGGCGGTCTGGCAGGTGGTGGCGCTCACGGAAGGCTTTTTATGGTCAGTGTGCCTATTGTTGCCTAACCCGTGTGACGTACATTTCACTGTGGCTGGATTTGATCGTATTCTGTATGGCGTTTACACGCATTGACATGCGCGACTTCGGTCGATGTTTGTGCTTACGCACTATCAAGGGGCCAAGTCCTCTTTTACTGGTTCGCCAGTTATTTTGCTGTGGACTACGGTCCAGTTCCCAACTTTGCGTACCCTTCGGGGTGAGCGCATTAAAATGGTTGGCGCTCACCGTGCGCGGCGTGTGTGGGGCCGTGTACCTCCTCCACATTTTTTTTAAAATGTGGAAGAGCGAAGCCCTTGTAGCTGGTATTTGATATAAATATTGTGAGCCTTTTCCAAGCGGGAAGGGATTAATTAATAAGGAATTGACTGTTGTGAACCAGATACAAGTGGAATAGGGACAATTTATTGTTCTTAACCTTTTTGAGCTCTGTCTTCGTGAACGGGGTTCTCTAGCTTATAAGACTCTACCAACAGCTTTCGATTGCTCTCGTGAATATTCATTCTTCCAAGATACACCTAAAAGAACTAAGTTACTATACAAACACAACGTAAAAAAGGGTCCTAAAAAAAAAAAAAAAAAAAAAAAAAAAAAAAAAAAAAAAAAAAAAAAAAAACTGCAATACTATATATTATAAAGTAAAATAAGTGGAAAAACTCAATTAAAGTAAGTGAAGGACACAAAAAGTGTAAAAAAAAAACAAGTGGTAATAAAAATTAAAAATGGCTAAAAATAAGAAAAAATCAACTTCAATTAAGGCTAAGCCTAAAGATGAGATGAAAATGCTTCACAAATTAATTAAGAATGCAGTGAAAACCTTTGAGGTTAAAATAAAGGATCTTGAGGAAAAATTTATTAACCAAACGAAAGATTACCAAATTAAAATAAATCAAGGAGAGGTGTCCGGGGCGAGCACCTCTCATGTAAATGATCCTAGACAAAATATTGTATATAATGTACATAATGTAACAATAGAAAAGCCGAAATTCAGAAATGGAAATACTCATCCAGTATCATTTTTGGAAGATCTCACCAATTATTTAAAGAAAGTTCCATCTAATGGTCTCGAAATTTCGATAGCACAAGAGTGCTTAGTAGGTGAAGCCAAGTATTGGGCTCGCATTAATAATGTGCGTTGGACAACTTTTGATGATTTTAAAGCTGACTTCCTAAGAGTGTTTTGGGGTGAAGAAGAACAAAATAAAGTAAAGAGATTCCTTGTGCAAAATAAATGGAATAGAAGTACACACCCCACCATGGTTAGTTATTTTCTTTATGTGGTTGAGAAGGCACAAACATTATCATATCCGATACCTGAAAAACAATTAGTAACTGATGTCATCAGACATTATCCTAAAACTGTGCAGCAATTATGGAGAATAGCTAAAATTGAGACAATAATAGACACGACAGATTTCTTAAAAAAACTTAGATGACATCGACAAACAAGATGAAGGTCGTGAACCTTACTATAATGAGAAAAGGAGGAAGTTTAATAATAATACGGAGCAAAAACATAAAGAAATAGAACAATCATACAAAACATGGCGTAAACCCGAAGAGGGAAAAAAGAAGGTTAATGAAGTACATGAAATACATTTCACTAATGACCAACCTGATGTTACGGCCCCTGAGCCAAATTTAGAGCTGTAGAGGTCGAACTAGTTCCCGATTCGACCCCTTACAATGTAAAAGGGAACAAAGCATTAAATATGTTATTAAAACTGGGTTGGCGACCTGGTCAAACATTGGGTAAAAACAATAGAGGGTTGCGAAAACCTATTACTTTAAAAGCAAATTTTAACAGAGAAGGCCTTGGTTATAACGACAATGTAAATAGCATATTAAACACCTTAAAAGCCAGGTCGGACTTGCCCATAACGGAGTTATTCGTGCAAACCGTCTTCGAGGAAGACGAAGATAAATATCAAAGGGAATTTATAGGGAATATGAGATCTGAAATTAAAGTTTCAATATTTGACAAAGAAATAGACGCGCTCCTCGACACTGGGAGCGATGTTACATGCATTTCAGAAAGTTTATATTTACAAATTAAAGATAATAATCGTAAAATATCAATAATGCCAGTTAAAGCAATGCAAATAAAAGGTGCTGTTGGGCAGCGCAGCACAAAAATACAACAGATAATCATATTGCCTATAAAGATAGATGAAGTAGTCTTTGAAACACAAACTTTAATTGTAGGTAATTTAATAAGACCTTTAATATTAGGCTTTGACTGGCTCAAGAGAAATAAAATATTGATTGATTTGAGAAATACTACTGTTGGAATAGAATTTAAAGTGAAAAACAAAGACTACTTTATACCTTTCAAATATAATAATAAATCTGTATTACATAATAACTGCATCAAACAATGTACCGATGATCCTTTAATAAATATAAAAATAGGATCTACATTGAAGGTCTCTGAAAGGGCAAAACTTAGTAAGGTTTTGGAAAAGCATAAGAATATGTTTTCGAGCAAATTGGGAAGAGCCAATTGCTATGAGCATAAAATTGAAATGATCGATGATGAACCTATAGTTACTAGGTCCTATCCCATTCCATATGCATATAGAGCGAAAATGGAAGAAAAGTTAAATGAAATGGAACAAGCTGGTATCATCACAAGGACATCAACGCCTTACAGTAGTCCATTGACATTCATTCTTAAAAAAGACGGCTCAATTAGAGTACTGCTTGATGCCAGAAGCATAAATAAGAAAATGGTTGCAGAAACAGAGAAACCACCTATACAATTAGATGTTTTGAATTCATTTCACGGAGCGA